GTCAATCCACCTCCGATGACGACTTCGACACTACCTCTGTCGAGCCCTCCCAATTCACCCTTGAGGACCTCTAGGCCGCCGACCTTATGCGGATTGAACGCCGGCCTCGTGCCTCCCGACCGCCTTTTTCCTCTCCACCCCGTCGTCTCCAGAAACTCGCACCCGAAGAACACATATACCTCCAGGAGCACAACGGATGTTTTCGCTGCCGCCAGTTAGGTCATCAACAGACCAATTGCCCCAGCACTAGCCGCTTTACTCGACAGGCCCCTCGCCCCGCGGGACCCGACCCTTCTACTTCCACTTCTCCCTCCACCGTGACATACGGGCCCTCCTCCACCTGAACACTGTCCCCCTGACTCTTGCAACCCTCCCCCGGCTTCGACCACTTGTTTGTTGGCTCTCCCATCGATCTCTACTCCACCGGTGGCCCAATTGGCATCGACTATCCGTCTGCCTACCCCTTCCCCGGTGATGCACATCCCATCGGACGACCCCCCAGGCAACACAATCTACTCCACCTGCCCCCCTCTCGACGACGTCTGCTATCCCGTCGGTCGAGCTTCCCACTGACACCTGCTCTTCTACTCTCATCCCTAACCCCTCCTCCACCACCTTCTTCGATCTCGTTGAGGAACAAGCACGACACGATCGGCTTGTTAGATTAGGCTTGGAACATCACCGCCGCAACACCATGATCTCTTTTGCTTATGCCCGAACCGCACGGTTCCAGCTCAAGTGTATCGTCGTCTCCCTCGGTGCATCAACGGTGAAGTTTCGGGCCCTCCTTGATATTGGTGCCACCGGCGGCTTCATCACCGAAGCCTGTGTCCGCAAAGCCGGCCTCTCTTCCACCGGCTACGACTCCCCGATCACCATCCGACTAGGGGATCAGGACTTAGCCATCGTTGTCGATCGCACTGTCCCCGAGACCCTCATGGCTGTCGGTCCTCTTCGCAGTCAGGTCTCCTTCGATGTCATGCACCTCATGTGCAACGTCGTCCTAGGGACTCAATGGCTTGACTGTTTCATGCCCTACTCCTTCCACCCCTCCTTCGTCCGACTCACCCGCCCTCCTGACTCTCCTCTTGATATCCCTTATCTTCTCCGCCCTTCTACCCCACCCCCTGTCTCCTCTCTCACAGTTCTGGAAACAACTCTTCAACGCCTACGGAACTACACTAAAGTATAACACTGAATTCCACCCACAGACCGATGGACAAATCGAGAAAATGAACGATACTCTCCAAAGAATCCTATAGAAGTACTATCATCCACATCAACATGACTAGGATCAGTTGCTCACCCCCACCGAGATTGCCTACAACAACGTTGTCTGTCTTTCCACTGGCATGTCTCCATTTTACCTTGGCCTTGGCTACCATCCGCGCTTGCCCTATGATTTCCTGCTTCCCTCACAACTCAACCCCTCCACACCCTGGCCTTCCCTCAATGAATGGGTAGCAACAATGAATGGACTCCTCAGAGAAGCAACCGAAGCCCTCGAAAGAACACAAGAACAACAAGCAAACAAGATCAACACACACAGACGAGACTTGCAATTCAAAGTAGGGGACAAAGTCTGACTCTCTGCCAAACGCTTTGAACCCGAACATGGATTGTCAAAGAAACTCTCGAACAAATGGCTCGGACCCTTCCCCATCATTGAAAAAACCTTCAACGTCAACTACAAACTCCAACTCCCCCCCGACATGAGCCGCGTACACCCGGTCTTACACGTAACCCACAGGCCTTGAACTCGTCATTGAAGCGATCATAGGTCTACAAACTACTTAGGTATCTGACAACCCGGAACCAATCATTGAATACGAAGTCAAATGGACCGGATACCCCGACGAAGAATTTACATGGGAACCTCTCTCGAATCTCAAGAATGCCATGAAACTTGTCCGCGCCTTTGATCGTGCTACTCCTATGTCCTAGACACCCAAGTAACTACAACCCTAAGCCCCTGTATAAACCTTGCAACCCCGTTCTAAACACACCCTTGAACCCAGTCCACACTCCCCTCGACCCCAATCCCTGATGTCTGATCCGCCCTTGCCCTCGCCTAGCCTTGTCCCATCTGTCCTCTCCACTACCTTGTCTCTCTCGTCCAATGCTTATGAACCTGCGTGACGCCGGCGATAAAGGATCTAATGGCAAGCGCACGAGGACCATGGCCTGCTGCCTCACTGTTCATGGAGATTATGCAGCTGGTTTGGCCACCATGCTGTTTCATCGGTCGGCATCCCGACTCACGGACTTACTGGAGCAGCAACTTGTGACATGGATCTTTGCATCAGTCTGCGACTTCCTTGCTTCCAGATCAGACCTCATTGCAGTTTGTGTACCGGACGCACCCCAGCACTTGGACTTTGGACATTTGAACTACTGTTACGCTTCTTGGACTACTACCTGTCGCAGCCGCTGAAGACCGCTTCTACCACCTACTCCAAGACCTGATCAAGACCGCTGCAGATCCCCTTTCAAGACACCTGGACACTTTGTTCCCACATGAGATTCCGCTTCCGACTCCTTCGGACACACCAGCCCTTGCCTCCTGAACAAACATTTCCATTTTTATTTTTTTAGCAGATCTCTGTTTCCCTGACCATTGTTCCCCTTACCCACTAGAACATTAATAGAAATTCCCTGTTCCCCTGACCACTGTTTCCCTTACCCACTAGAACATCAATAGAAATTCCCTGTTTTCCTAAACATCGTTTCCCCTACCCAGTAGAACATTGCTTAGCTTCCCCTATAGACCCACCCAGTCACATCATACCTTCACCTGTGCAGAACACCAGACAAAATACCCTGTGACTTGCATCACTCCCCTTCTCCTTCTCCGACCAGTGATCGGCCCCGTCCCGTCCTTCACAGCTCTTTTTGTTTCCTTGGCTTTTTGGCAGCCGGGACGTTGCCTTTCAGAGGGAGGGGATAGTGTTACGGACTCCGCCAGGGCTTGATCCCTGGTCTATCTTTTTGCTGTTTCTGCTGCATCCCGTTTTCGGCCTGGCACCCTTTTTTTTTTTCCAAACCCCTCCTTTGGTGCCGTCGGATTTTGGACAACTGGTGCCATGCTGCAATTCGGGCACCACTTTCAAATACCGCTTTTTTCAGTTCTGCCCTCGGGGCTTTTGTGGAAATGCCCCTGGTACCGTACGTGTCACCGGTACTTGTACCAGCTCCCCGTACAGTACGGGGACCAGTCTCGTACCAGTTTTCTGCTGCTGTACTCGTACTCAGTTTGACTTGCTGTTTCGGCATTCGGAATCCAAGACTTCGACTTTGTGCCCTTGCCACTGTGTCTGCGTCCGACCCTCAGTCGTGTCGAGTGAGTGAGTGTGTGTGTGTGCTGTCACTCTCTCCCTCTCTCTCTCCTCTCCATCGGCTCTCCCTCAGCCCCGCACTCGTCACAGGAAGCGCTTCCGCAAGGATCACCACAGAATGAATGAATTGCTGGACGCTGCCTCTTGATTTATACTTCTGTTGGCCGCTGGTCTGCCTCTTTCCACCAGGCCCTTGGTGCACACAGTTCCACACGGTACTTGCTTGACTGGACTGATTGTGGCTGGGACCTGTACCGCTGCCTGCACGGGGTTGCACTGCCGACTCGATGCAGTTGGACTTACGACTTGCCTACAGACCTCTAGCCTAGCAGTTTCGACCTCTACACAGCGGTAACCCCTACTTGACAGATCTACAGATCGAATCCCTACAGCTATAGGGACCTACGACAAAGAACAGTCACTACTAAAACACAGGTCGCAGGCTCAAACACACAGGGGTCTACTCGATACTGTACAGGGATGCAGGTAAGGTCTAGGGATCGAACCCTGGGATCTGCATCTGCTTCTGCAAAGGTGAAAACCGTTTCAAAGTGATAGCACAGCAGCACTGGCCAGAATCCCTTGGCCTGGGCTGCCACACTTCTTTTATGGAAGTGGCAGCCTCCTGGATGCTGCGTGTGGCCTGGCTGGAAGCTTCCAGTAGCTTCCGGTTGGGCCTCAGACCCTGCGTCCAGGCCCGATACTACAGTCGAGGGCCTGGGCTCTTTTCAGTTGGGCACGGCCCGAGTCTCTGGACTTGGGTTGTTTGCTGCATCTGTGCAGGGCTCCCAGGCAGGTGCGTCGGCAGTACTACTCTTCCAAAGGTCGATGGCCTGCTTCCCAATGTATCGGCCCTGCTTTGTGTGTATGTGCCCAGGCGCAACTGTCTAGGCCTGGGCCAACTGTATGACGCAGCTTAGTGAGGCTCACGCGTCTACCCAACCAACTGGCGTGCTGCAAGAGCCTGAATAATGTCGAATGTTGGCCTCCGACGAACATTCAGGCCCGCCTTCACTTAGGGCGAGCACTCAGCTTGCTGGGGGCCTTAGCCCAGAACATGTGATGTCTGATAGGGGCCCTTGAGGGCTTGTTCCTCAATAAAACAAAAAATAAAATAATATTTTTAACTTTTATTTTTTATTCTAAATTTGGTGAAGAATTTCGATGTGACCCTGAGGCAAAAGTTGTTCAGTCTATTTTAGTATTTTTCTGCATAACATAGTTGTTTTTCGGAGTTTTTGGAATTTGTTTTTTGTTTTTTTTTCTCTGGGACCTTCCCTGGTCCTTCCACGGGCTGGCCACCCGGGACCCGGGCGGCCCGGCTGGTAGCCTAGGTCCAGACCACATTCAAAGCCTGCCAACAAAAAAACATGGATTCCCTCACGAACTAGGCATGAACAAAGTCGTGCATCAAACGTGTTGGTGTCTGAAGCCATCATCCAGCCTGTGAAAAGAATACACCCAAGCACTTGAAGTAACAGAGTGTACCCCCTATGTGTGATCAATGTCAGCAGCAGGGCATCTCTCAATCTGATGCCAAAACAGTTCTTATTTCGTTTTTTTTCTTTTAGCGGACAAAAATATAAGGGCACCACATCCCTTGCTCCGTTTTATTGAAGGTATCAATAAGACTTTGTACGTAAACCAGCGGGAAGGAAAACTGACCATCAACAGGTTTTTCAACAAATGGCTTATTCATCCGTCTTCCATTAAGCTCGATCCAGTCCTCATCCTCAATGAATACACCGATCTCTTTGTCATGTTCATCCCGATTTACCACCATGTATTGGGGTGTGGGAATGCCACATTCCTCCAGCTTCTGCAACCACAACACTCAACAGCCAGGTAAAACAGCGAAGGGTCAGCATAAGCGCGGCGTCTAAGGGCGAGCAGGAAGAGGGCCAAAATGGTCAAAAGTCGTTCAAATCAGGTGCAACTGCGGCCAGATAAGGCGAAGGAGTCCAAATGGCTGACTCGCGAAAATGGTCAAAATTAAAAATTTCCCAAAAAGTTGGCAAAAAGTGCCAAAAACCATTCAAATCAGGTCCAACAGGACCTATAAGGCAAAAACAGGTTGCACTGGCAGTTGTAGAGTCGGACTGTTTGTACCTGTCTCGGAGCTGAATGGTAACCACACACGTAATTGTGGATAAACAGAAGAGTTCAAATCCTGATGCACACAACGCGGACGGGCGCTAACCCCCTCTACTAAAAAACTAAGCAGAAGAGCACCATAACGGCCCTCTTTTTTTTTCTTTTCTTTTGGGGGGACAAAAAGCTCCAATCTATTCATGGGGAGCATCACATGCTGGGAACCGGGCCCGGCGTCCCATATAAGGATACACAAGTATTAAAGCACTGGGGCCATTACCCGGCTTCGGCTGAGAAAACTCTGAGATCAACTTACACCAAATACTAATGAAACAGCCTCGAAGGGGCTAATGGAAAAAAAACAAGCATCTATGAAGTACTAAATTCAAAAGGGCCCTTTTGTTTTTCGAGCCTTGGCTCACAGGAGAGTTCAGACCGGATAAACCACCTGCCTTGGTGCCTTTCAGCGGCCCAACCCTACCTGCCTCACTCCTATACCCGATGCCCAATCTCTACCAAGCCTCACACCCCCAATTGCTAGGTTACAGAGTGGCACGACCCACCCCAGACCCCCCCCACCTGCTAGGTCCCAGGGCAACACGACCCACCCCGGCTCCGACCAGCATTGAATAGGCACCAGCTCACCAAAAGACACTTGAGTGCCTCCACCCTCGACAACTCCCCAGATCTCTCTACCAGGTCTCATGCCCTCGTACAGCTCGAGTTACAGGGCACCGCGACCAAGCCCCAGCACCGACCAGCGTCGTTCTGGCCTCGTCTATTCGTGAACCCCCAGGACTAAGGACTACGGCAGATACCAGCGCCATAGCTGTAGATCCGATCATCCATCCTTCAGGCATTGGTTGCAGATATTCCACAAAAAACCTTCTCAGCCCTACTCCGGCAAGTCGTACCGCGATGGAGCCACCATCTCCACCGCTGCTATACCCTATTTCAACCCTGCAGGCTAGCCACTTCGCCGCAGAGTGCGTCCTCACCCACCATCACAGCCACCACAACCCCCTCCCACCAGCACCAAGCGTTAGAAGAATTTTCTTCTTTTTTAAGAAATTTATGGAAATTTATGAAAAAATCTTTAAAATACCAGGGCCATTACCCGGCTTAGGCTAACAATGACAACTGTGCAATCTACACAAGAAAACAACCCCAAACCTCAGATCAGGCACTGGTTGCAGCTATCCCCTGATCCAACTGCCAGACCGCTATCCCGACCAAACTCATCCCCTGCCTCTTCCTGTGAGAGAAGCACCTTCTCCTCCCCATAGCCAGTGCCGGTGCCGCCCCTTGGCGAAAAGCGCTGGCCAGAAGGGATTAATAGGACACCGCCGCCTCCCGCCTCCCTAAACCTTCTTGAAGGCGATTGTGTTGTGAGTAACACAGCGTCAAGCCCGTCAATGCGGCCTCACAGAGAGTTCAATCCATGTACAACGATAATCAAACAGCCAGGCCAGACGAAGCAAGAGACAGAGAAATAGAGGCTGAAGTAGGAGAAGAGAAAACCCAGGGCACTCATAGCCCTCCCTCTCTTCGATATACACGATTTCTCTGCTTTTCACTATAACCCCAACAACCCACCCATGCCACGTGGCATCCTACCCTCCATTACTCGTCATACTCTACCCAACATCCTCCCCACCATGCACCGTCACGCCAATCTGCCTCGCGCCTTCCCCCACATGGCGTCCACCACCCCCTGCCAACCACACGCCCCTCCTGCCTCGCCTCAATGGAAGTCCCGCAACAAGCCCTCCACTAAGTTGTCGCGAACATGCTAATCGTTCCGTGGCTTCCACCCCAACGCGCATCCGCTCTCCGTTGCTTCGGCCCAGGTGGGGCGCAGCGCTCCCGGTAGCGCTGCGCCCGTACTCATGTGTGTGTGTGCGTAACAGCCCTCTCAGGTTTGCAAACAAAAAAAATTGTTAAAGTCAGAATGCACCTGAATGGGCAGATTCCCAACCGCATGCACTGCACCTGGATGTGCACAGGCCCTGGTGTGTTCTGACCAGGCTAATTCTGTCCTTCCAGATGTTAAACCTACCCAAAAAGATGAGCCACTGAAACTAGGGCACGTCTATTCAGGGATGGGCAGATCCCCAGTGGATGACCTGCACCTGAAGGCGCAGAGGGCCCTGGTGCATTATGACCAGGACAGTTTTGTCATTTCAAATGTCGACGGGCTATTTCCATCTTTCCCCAAAAGAACAAGCAGATGAAATGGGACACTTCTGTTCAGGTAATATTATCCAGATGTGTCCTTGCAAGTTCCTAGACAGTGCCAAACAAGACAATGTGAGACAGATGTTACTTGGTAATTGCAGACTGTGGAGAGCTCAGCCAGAGCCAGCAGTATATAGCTGGGCCGGTGCTCCAGTTCTAGACATTCAGCTTGAGCATTTGTAGGGCATCATGCTGGTGGAGTGCAGCACCAGTCTGAATTCGAGCTGTTTTAGATTAGCAGTGTAGAGGAGTAGGAGGTAGGCTGGAGAGCCATAGCCGTGAGGTTGGGAGATACTCACGTGGGTGCCATAGCTGAGACTTCCTCAGCGACCTGCATCAGTTGGAGACACCACCTTCGCCGGTCACTACTCACTGTCAGCATCAAGTGAGAGGGAGAGAGAGGAGAGTTCTTCTCCTCCTTCCTGAGTCTTCTCCGCCCCTCCTTAGTCACTATCCTTCTTCTTATTATTATTATTATCCTTATTATTATTATTATTATTCTTATTATTCTTATTATTCTTATTATTATCATTATTATTATTATTATATTATTATATTCAGAGTTGCCAGGCCGAACGTACGGAGGCCCCTAAGCTGACCCCCAAACGTTCGGGCGTTCGGGTCCCCGTACGGGGCCCGAACTCAAAGGGGTTTGGACCCCGCAAAAAACTATTTTGGTACCTAAAAATTATTATTTTTTTCTGATTTTTTTTTGGTGAGTTTTCTGTTATGTAAGCTACCTGTCTCTCAATTTTGAAGTCATTCTGTGGCGCCAAACAATAATGAAAAATCGGCAAAGATGGTGGTGTCAAAACTTGCTTTCCCACTTACTAATTTGTTTTTTTCCTCTTTTCACTTTTTGTTTTCCCTTTATTTCGGGGCCTGAAAAAAATTATTATTTTTTCAAACTTTATTTGTAGGTTCTCTACTATGTAAGATACATATGCATAAAATTTCATGGCATTTGACAAAGCCAAAAAAAAATGAAAAATCGCCAAAGATGGCGGTGTCAAAAACTTGCTCGCCCACGCAATAATTTCTTTCTCGTTTTATTTTTTCTTATTTTCATTAATATTATTTATTTTTCGTATTTGATTTTATTTCAAATCTGGTAAGGAATTTGGATGTACTGTTGAGGCAAATGTTGTTTAGTTTATTCTTCTGCATGACATTTTTTTTTTTCAGTTTTTGGAAACTTTTTTTTGGTTCCGCGTTCGGCCGAACGTCCGAACGCGTCGAGAGGGGGTCCCAAACGTTCGGGCGTTCGGGTTCGGGCGTTCGGCCCGTCCCGAACGCCGGCAACCCTGATTACATTATTATTAGAGAGAGTTTGCAGAGAGTGACTATTTCGGGCGATTGGCAATGGGGGAGACTATTTTTGGCCACTTCGAGCTATTCTTCTTGTCTTTCCCCCTTCTTCTTCCTTCGCCTCCCCTCACCTCCATCATCAATGAATTGTACCCATGTGTGTGTGTGTTGTCTTTCCCCCTTCTTCTTCCTTCGCCTCCCCTCACCTCCATCATCAATGATTTGTACCCATGTGTGTGTGTGGGCAAGGAGGGATCTTTCTTCCATCTCTGTGTCCCTCCTTGTCAATTGACATGTGAGGTGATGTCTGGGTGTGTCCAGTCTATGTCTGATGAGTCAGGTCAGGTCTTTGAAGTCTTCCGCTGTGCTACATTGCATTATATTGTTGTTTTCTGGGATTCGCTTTGCTTCTTGTCATTCGCATTTGCTTGTGCTGAGTCCTTCACTTCACGTTGGTGATCTTTCAGGTCTGCACATCGCCCATCTGTTGGTAAACATGCATGGAAACCAGAGCAATGATTGCTTTCTGCTGAAAGAAAAAGAAGATTACAAACAATCGCCAGATGATGGGTGTACTCAGCAAGGACAATACAAGATGTATATGGATGTAATCTCGCAGTGAATACATAACTGCAACATAGTGGTCATGCATGGCGGCTCATCACCCTTATGCCAATTACTATAGCTCTGATGTGGAATGAAAAATGGGAGAGACTGCTGAGCTTGTGACTTGAAAACATAAACAACACTGCCAAGGCTGGGAATTTCCAAATGAAATGTCACAGCTGAGATTGGGCCTTGCAAAATGGGAGTCGGAGCATTTTCGCTCCTACGAATCGGTAATAGTTCTTACCGCATAAACCTTCCTCCGGTCATGCAATACATGCTGACTCTCCAACTGATTAAGAAGGTATGGCCTGCATATTCATTGATCACCACAGCAGTTTGGTCAGCAAAGGAGCGGCTTCAGCTTCCCCTTGACATGTAGCATACTACGTATTACTACCCCACCAATTAGATTAGCCTTTGTACCGCATGAAACAAATGGATGACATGTGGGGCCAAACAGTGGTTGTAAGGAATTTAGCCAAAGCTGTGGGCTGATAAACAGCAGAAAAGACGTCAAGTACCCAACCACATCACCAAAACAAACTCTTCAAGAGCTGACTCGTAATCAGAGGACCACTCCTCTAGGCGGGTAAGGGCAAGGGCCCACTGGTGGAATGATCATGCTGGGAGAGCATGACCTGGATCGTTATTACAGCCCGGTTCATGCTTCCCAACACCAGTGGGGCCTGCTCCTCATACTGTAGAGGACCACCATTGAGATCTCGTACCCAGTTGCCTGCTCACAGGTTACACAGCGCCCTTGAGGATGTGAACTCACTTGGCACACGTACAAAGCTTGCATTCGACCTACACCGTTGTAAACTGAATTTCGGCTGTACCAGCAAGGAAGGAGGGAAGTTGAACTACTCAGGTGCTCTCCCTAACCATACACTAACAGCATGGACAGCATCATACAAACATAACCAGTGAATAAACTGCAGCACTGATTGAATGGGAGAAGATTAAAGGCATGAAGGTGCTCTCCCTAACCATACACTAACAGCATGGATAGAAAGGCCAAGGGGGGGGAACAGACGCAGCAGCAGAAGAAGTGGAAGGAAAGAAAGAAGAGGACGAAGAAGCATAAGAAGACAGGAGACAAATAGGAAGAAGAAAAAAAAGCAGGAGGAGGGGAGGGAGGAAAAGGAGGAAGAGAAAGAGATATATCACCATAACGATAATCATCACCTCCAAGTTACTCGCCTTTTCTGGTCAGAAACAATGAAAGAATGAATGAATCGCAGAATAGATCCCTCAAATCTCTGTGTGCCAGAATATACTAGTCATTCTTGACAAAAGAACAACGTTCACGGTGACAATTGTCACCTCCAGATGAATCCCATGTTCTGGTCAGAAAACAATGAGCGAATGGCCTCACCTCATTGCCCCCTTACTCTGTCTATCCACTGTGAGCCCCACCCTAAGAGTCTCCTTGCAGCTCGCCCATTCAACTTACCACCCTTCACGGATAAGCTGTAGCCACCTCCACTACACTAGATTGCCTGCAGCCATTGATGCTTCTCAATTGCATATCACCCCAGCAACCGGGCAGCATCCACCATGAGGGAATGCAGTCACTCTCCTGGTCAAGTCCTCTCTGAAGTGCTGAGGATGGACCCCTTCTTCCTGGTGCTTCCCTCCTCCTCCTCAATGTTGGATGTGACCCAGCGGTTGGCAAGGAAATTCAAAGGAACGTGTGAGTTATCTCCTCCTACAAGATTTACAATTTAATACCATGGTGGTGGCGGGGAGAAGTTGCCGCATCAGCAACCTCCTCACCTACACTCCATAGTCTGCCTCACAACAGACGAGACCACAACTGAGAACACTCCAAGACAAATTAGTTGATGTCGTCACCTAGTAGAGCAAAGGGGCAAAGACCCTCGAGAGGTCCCAGGTCCTACCTTTTTCTTTTTAGCTTTAGTTTTTATCAGTGCTGGTCCCCGGTTCAACAGGGAAGGCCCCCTCGGCCCAGGAGCCTCCGAGTTGAACCGGCTCGTGGACCGGCCCAGCAGGCTCTCATTCGCCACTGGGAGGGGTTTACCGCAAAGGAAACCGGCTCAGCGACCTCCCACAGCCTTGGAGAGGCCGCCACCACGTAGAAAACAAATAAGACAAGGGGTGGTAGACCCTGAGTATGAACAAAAATCAGGCGGCCCATCTGGGCCACCATCTTATGACATCGTAGGCTAAGATTGGTCGCATTTGAATTCACTTGGGGCCTTAGGCGGGAGTTAAAAAATGCTCTGTAATCCGCAGCGTCACAACCCCTCTCAACCTCACATTGGCATTCCTGCTACTGCTGCTTCAGCTGCGTGCGCCACGCTGCTCCCAGGCAGCTGCAACATCCCCCCTGACTGCACCATCGAGGCAGCCATTATCAAAGAGCCCGCCCTCACGCTTGTGGAGTATCCCTGTGCGCCATTTTCTTAATCATCTTCTTGTCTGGAGAGAGAGAGAGAGAGAGAGAGAGAGAGAGAGAGAGAGAGAGAGAGAGAGAGAGAGAGAGAGAGAGAGAGAGAGAGAGAGAGAGAACAATTCTTCCTCCACCTTCTTTTTCTTCTTCTTCTTCCTCTCCTCCTTTTCTTTTTCTTCTTCCACCTCCTCTCCTCCTCTTATTCTTCCCTTCTCTCCGTTTTTGTTTGTTTCTTAAATTATTTCGGCGCGAGTCTTCGGCTGAGTTTGGCACCTGGTCTACCTCTGCCCATTGCCACCAACTCCCCCACTGTCCTCCCCCCTCGCCCTCTTCTTCTTCATCTTCGTCTTTTCGCCTCGCCCACCTACCCCGCTTGTCCCAAACAATCATATTTGAAACAACGACTTGTAGATATTGGTGCTGATACTGCACAACAGACTATGGATTGGGGATTTAGTCCTGTAATGTTAAGGGGTTCAGGGGTTTCCTGGAATTTGTGAAAAGCAGCACCCTACGACGTTTATGACAACTAGATGACCCGTTGCGGCTTTGCCAGCAAAAACAGAAAACTAAAAAGCACAAAAGAAAGAAAAAGCAGAGCCTGAGAGCATGGAGAACTGCCCTATCATATGCCGCTTCTTTCACAAAAACAAAAAGAAGAGCCTGAGAGCAGACAGAAATCCGCGTGCAAGAAATAGGTGGGAATACCACCGAACCTTTTTTGTTTCTTTATCTGTGAGTGCTTTGTTTGGGAAGCCGGTACCTTTGCAGCATCGTTTTGTTTTTGTGCTGTGCAAGAACTGTGAACTTTTATGTCCCGTTGACATTTTAGCTAACCGATTCAGACTTTTGTTTGCTATGTTCTCTGAATATGTTTGTGATAAAGCGATCTTGAATGTATGGCCCGTGCTTACTTGCCGAGTTTTGACTCTATGTGTGCAAGTGCATGCGCATGTGGGTGAGTCTCAGTTTGGTCGGCTCCAAAACTCTTTGTGTGCAAGTGCATGTGCGTGTAGGTGAGTCTCAGTTTGGTCGGCTCCGATGATGTCATTGATGATTGGCCTGGGGAAGTTGTTGGAAGTCGCCTCCAACTATAAGAGTGCCACTAATGTGAAGCAGGTTTTGCATTGTACGAATGAAACCATCAAATCAGCATTCAATCTTCTTGGCAGTTGCTCTTCGCATTGGGTACTTGTCGGGAGTAGCGTTGACATGGGAGCCATAATGCCGGGCGTTCATTTTGCAACATTTCCTGGAAGGCAAAAGGCAAAGAAGAAACGAAGTAGCAC